AAATGATATAACATGTACTAGTAGCTTATTGTTATTGATCTTCCTACTGCTCTAAGCCCTTCTGGTGGATTGCACCACAGCATGCACCTGTCAGCTTGGACAACTATAGCCCAACCAGCACTGTGCAGGTGTTCTGCAAAGTTAACATTCACTTCTTGTTGACCTTTCATTTTGGTGTTGTTGTTGTTGTTGTTGTTGTTGTTGTTGGGTTTTTTGGTGTGGGTTTTTTTTGTTTGTTTGTTTGTTTTTTGTTTGTTTGGGTTTTTTTTCTGTTTGCTTGTTTGTGGTTTTTTTGTTTGTTGGTTTGGTTTGGTTTTTTGGGGTTTTTTTTTGGTTTTTTGTTTGTTTAGTTTTTTTTTTTAATGATAAATGTTAAAATCCTTTTGGACTCATGGAGTTCCTACTCTCTAAAAGGAGCTTATGTTTCCAGACATGTTTATGCACCCAGTTCATGGATAACACTGTGATTACAGCATGCTGTTCTCGCCCAGGAACAGCAAACAGGTCCCATAGCCCTCCAGCATCCTAAAAAGACTGCCACTTCCTTTAGCTTTGTCTGTGTGAGTTCCTACAGGATAAAACTTTTGCTCCCATCACTGTCAGTAACACATACAGGTAAAATTTTACTTAAAAAGATTTAAAACAGTTGGTAGATAGCATCCGAATTAGAATTCTCAGCTGTGAAAAGCTGTAAGATGTAGGCTCCAGAACAGCCACTGTCCAGCTCGTTTTTCCATATAGAGATTTCAGACATGGGGCAGACTAAAATGAAAAATCTGCTGATGCAAAGTTATGATTTTTGGGAACAGGCTGGCCAGGTGTACTTTGGTTTTCTCATTATTTTCAGTCAGGCTTCTTTGGCTGACTGCACTATTTGTGGGTGATTTAAATTTTCCTTCCTGGTATAGATTGAGCTGCAATCAGCCTGCTTTCAAGCAATACACTCTGAGGAGGTGAGTCACTACCAGTTTTCATTTGAGAATCCCAGTGTGTGTATAATAAAGTGCATTACACAATATGTGTGTATACATTCTAAGTTTATTTGTATATACAGTATATTCTACATGTGTTGTACTATACACATTACACAGAAAGTTTAAAATATACATATGTAGTAGAATATATATATTACATATGTACATTATATATGTATGACACTGTGACACTGCTTCTATAAACATCCCCTTTAATGACACTTTTCATACACTTAAGACTATTTCTTATACTTTTGCAATTGTCATTATTCACCCTACTTTTGTGGCACCTTCTTCCTTCACTCGTGCCTAGCATGAATCTCAGAGGCAAAACAACTTTCTATGTACCTAATGGTTTTAATATTGTTACTAGACGTGGGTGGGTTTGCATGGAAAATTCTCTATCTAAATAGCTTTGTCATATTTGTAAGAGTTCTTCAAGTTCACTGTTCAAATGTCAAAACTGGAACCCAACATGTAGGTCAACACGTAGGTACTGAAACAGGCTGATGTGACAATAGTGGAGTACGCTGTGGTGTGTTTGTGGTGCCAAGAAGCCATGGAAACCCAGCAGTGACTACTCACTTCTGTACAGTCAACTGCAGTGACTGTGTCCCCAGATGGATGGGGAAACCTCCCTGCAAAACTCAGCTCATCCAGAGAGATATGAGCATGACTGAGTCATCTTCTCACCTTGTCCCATAGAAAAGTTGATGATGTATGTCTGAGGAAGAATTCCTTTGTGGTGTGGAAACTGCTCCTGGAAAGTCACTGCCAGCATTACACAAGGGGCCATCCATGGTGTTCTGGAAGAGACCTAGACAGAAAATTATCAGAAAGCCTCAGCTAAATGAGAGGCACTGTTCTGACTCAGAGGATTAGGGGAAAAAGCAATATTTTCTGCAACAAGCAGTGAGAAAAGTCTGAAAGCAACTCCACGTGGAAAATGAGAAAGGGCATAGAGGGTCCTTTTTTTGCCAGTCCAGCTGCCCAACACAGTGCTGTGATGGCTGTGGGAGACTGGCCATGTGCAGCAGAACCTGCCTCAGACAGGTTTGGCAGTTGTGACTCAGAACACCGGTACAAATGCACAGGCAAACCAGGTGTTCTCCAGAAAAGCAAAGCTTGCAAACAAAATCTGGGTTATCCTGGCATCTCTCTTCAAGACTGGTGTGCAGATATATGTTGGTGTTCTTGGGATGACTACCTTGTACTGAGTGAGTAAAAGCAGCTAATACTGTTGCTGGAGTAGGGAGTGGTTCCTGTGGTTCTCCTGCTGATCAGCTGTTCAAGGCTTCAAATACAGCCCTAGAGAGTGCTTGTCTCTAAAAGACTCTTAAGGCGTATGAGCTACTTGGACTCTAGTAAGGTAAAAAAATAAGGTAAAGCACTGGCTATCACTATTCATGACAAGCACAGTTCTTTGTTCATCATACACTAGTAGTTATGTCTTATATCTTGTAAAGTCCATTGGGCAGTTTCCAGTCTATGTTTATCTCTTGTCCTATTCTTGGATAGGGCATGTAGGGAACTTAAAAGATTACTTAAATTTACAGTAAATATCATGTGCAGCTCTCACATGCTAAGAACTGAGAAAACCTGTCTGCTGCTATCTCCTCTTTTATAATGTAAATGTCTATGACTTGCTCTGTGTCTTGGTTTTCTTTGTGTGTGTAGGGCACAGCTGTCTCATTTATGCTGCCTTTTTCCTGATGCATGTTAATGATTTACTTGCCCTGAACAGGTCAACCATTATTTCTGTCCTCTCCCAACCCTCACAGACTTGCTTGATGGTTCAAATTACCTTTGTTCTTGAAGTGCATGGAAAGCAAGGACTCTTACTGTCTTTTTGAGCTCCAAAGAAAGAAAAGCTGTTGATGCTAACACTATTGGCATCAAATGTGTTAGAGCTGTCAGTTTGCATCTGGTTATTGTTTTTTGGCTTGCTTTTCTTTTTCACATGAATGACAACAGCTGTGTATTTTTGAAGCCTACAGGTAACCTACTTTTTATTGGTATGCACCCCAGTGTCACATTTTTTTCTTAGCCAAGGCAGCCCTATCAGGCATGGCAAAACAGATTTAGCAACATGGAAGGAATATTAGTTGCTGGCTAAGCCACATCCCTCTAGACAAAGTCAAGACTTACTACCCTTCAGGCTCCCAAGGACTCTGAGCAGGGATGTGATGATTCCTAAGATTTGTTTGTGGTTTTTCTTGCCCAATATTTTAGACCAAAAAAAAATGGGTTTGAACCAAGGAATAAAAAATGGTTCTAACTTCTGAATGCTGAAGGGAAAAGGGGATGATTTAATTTTGTTATGTGATTTTCCCCTCCTAGGTGAGACACACAGTATTGCTCAATGGTTTATCATATTTTGACACATCCCTTTTGGCCAAACCCAGTGATCTTATTAAGACGCTCTTTCAAAAGCCCAGGGATTTCATCATCTGTCATAATCCTAGCAATTCCAATAGAAGCATGAAGCAAATCCTAAAAGAGAAGACCCTCTTCCTACTCCCCACCCTAATCAATCACTCAGTGTTATGGAGCTTCTGCAGGATCTCTGTTAGAAGCTATGTTTTCCACATCCCGCCGTCTCTTTGTCAGCCTCTCATAATGTTTCCCCACTTTTAACAAGCTTTCTGTGCTGGCTCTGCCTCTTGTTATCACAAACTTCAGGTTTGAGCTTTGAGCTTCTTGCTGTCCTCCAACTCAGACACTTCTTATACATCTCTGCACTGACATTGACCATGCATTCATGTCCCAGTGTTAGCTTACAGACCTTCATCTTGTGCATTTCATCAAATTTCATCATCAAATGAGTTTGCCTCTTTCCTTCAAGTTGCCTTCATATCCTCTCCCTGCTCCTTGTTTTTGCAGTCTTTTGACTCAAGCAATCATCTCCATTCTAACCATCTCAGAAAGCTGTAATTTTTAGCCTTTTGTGGACTAAAGTGATAGATCATCTAAAATGGAGCACCTGTTTACACACTAGAAATTCCCGGTTACCTTTCTTTGTGCCCCATGGGAGTCACTGGGGACGCTTACTGTCATGCTGAATACCCTCTAAGAGAGGACTACTGCATTTTTTGGGGGTGGGAGTGTTCCCGAAAGCAGTGAGCCAAAGCTGACTGGTTTTGTTTTGTTTTTAAAAAAGGAATTTTTACACTTTCCTGGTGTTGCCTTGAGTGACACTTAGTTGCCACGGATCCCAAAGCAACACCAAGAAGCCACTTTGCAGTCTTCCCTCCTCCATGCTTAGTGAGATTGAGACCTAGGGGCATCTGGAGAACCCCTTAACACCACACCAGTGGGTACTGCAACAGTTAGAAAACCAGTTGTCACAGGACCACCAAACAGTTTAGCTTGGAAGGGTCCTTGAAGTGTGCCTATTTCCAGTCACCTTGCTGTGGGGAAGGACACCATTCCCTAGACAAAGTTGTTCAGAAACCCTCTCCATGCTGGCCTTGAACACTGCCAGGGATGGGACATCTTCAGCCTGTGCCAGTGCCTCAACACCCTCACAATGGCGAACTTATTCCTAATATCCAATCTAAACTTACCCTCTTTCAGTTTAAAGCCATTCCCCCTTGTCATATCACTACATGCCCTTGTTAAAAGTCCCTCCCCATCCTTCCTGTAGCCCCGCTGAGGCACTGAAAGGAACTTTAAGATCTCCCTGAAGACTTCTTCAGGCTGAACAGCCCCAACTCCCTCTGCTTTTGCTCACAGGGGAAGCGCTCCAACTTGCGGATCGCACTTGCGGCCTTCTCTGGTCTGGCTCACGAAGGTTTCTGACCCTGAACCCTGAGCCCCGGTCGAGAGAGACGTGCGGGGCGGTGCGGGGCGGTGCGGAGGCAATGCGGGGGGGCGGTGCGGGGCGGTGCGGAGCGCTACCGGGGCGGAGCGGGGCGGTGCCGGGGCGGTGCGGGGCGGAGCGGAGCGGGGCGGGCGCTGCGGCCCGCCCCCTCCGCGCCCTCCCGCGGCCGCGCGGTGCCGCCGCGCAGTTGCCGCCCGGCGGTGCGGGGACAGGTGGGGCGCGCTGCTGCCACGTGAGTGGATCCGGCGGGAGCGGGAAACCGGAGCGCGGGGCACCGCGGTGATCTTGGGAGCAGGAGCCTTCGGCGTTCTTCCGCAGGGTCTGTCCCGCGCTGGGGCGTGCAGGGCGGGACGGGACGGGACGGGTCGGGTCGGGTCGGGTCTCGGGCTGCCTCCTGCCCACCTTCCTTTCAGACTCCCTGGTTGCTCCCGTGTACCTCCTCTCTCTTCCGCAGAACCATGGCTGTTCCGCGCTGAGCTTTTTTGCTCCCCACCTTCGTCCTCTGGGCGCACCTGCATCCCTGGTCCCTCTCCCTATCCGCACCCTCCTGTGCCATACTTCCAGACTCTCAGACTTCCTCCTCCAACTCCACTGAGTGTACTTCAGCCTGCAGTGCCTGGCCTCCAAGCTCTCTGACTGTGCCCTACACCGCCCCGAGTCTGTGCCCCTAAACCCTTTCACCGGCTCTGGCACTAAGCGGCACTTGTTCCTCCAAACACTCTGGCTGTGCCCCACACCTCCCGGTGCCTGTCTCTCAAGGACCTCCGGCTGTGCCTCGCACGAACAGAGCTCTCCTTCCTGTCATGAAGAACAAGTTACATCGTGGCATGTGTATGGCCCCACTGCGTCAGGGACCTTACTTTTTTTCTTTTTTTCTTCCCACATCTTTTGCTCCCAAAGGGTGATACCAGGCATCAAGAAAATACTGAGGTTTTTCTCTGCAAGGGTGAAGGTTGGAGACAGTCAGGGGAGAGGTGTGGCCCATGTGCTAAAGGTGGTGATATTAAAATGTAGGGCTGGAGGGGTGATGTCTAGCCGGGGTTGTCTGGAAGGGTGGCTGTCTGGCTTGCTGCCTTCCTCGTCTTTGGAGACAGCTCACCTTTGCTGCTGTGTGGGGCAGGTCTGTCCTTAAGGACTGACCACAGAGGCAGTGAGGCCAGGAGCCAAGGAGACAGGTCAGTGCCAGCTGGGGGGGGTTGATGAGGCTACATTGGGGCAGCTTCTTTGCAACTGTAGATGTCATGTATATTGCTATAGAATTGTAAGTTTGTGGATACTTAATTTGTAAATACATTTGGAATTGAAACTTTGGTTGAGTCTTGGGTATTGCTGTCACCAAGACAGAATAGTGTGATGCTTGAAAAGTCATAGTGAGGCAGCAATCCAGCTCTTACTGATTTTTTTTTTTTTTCACTTGCATAGGAAATCAAGGTATGTTAATTAAAGCTGTTCAGACAAACCAGAAAACTTAGAGTCATGAATGGATACTCTCTTCCTTACTTCATTATAATTCAGTTCTTCTCAGACCCATGTGTAGGTCTGTACTGAACACTACCATGTGGGAGAAGTTTCAACAAGTTTTTCTGGTTGTAGGGAGCAGCCTGGGAACAGCATGCTGCCTGATTTATTCTGCTGCTCAACATTTGGGGTGCTGCCCGGAACGCACTCGGGCTGCCTTGGAGCTGCCTCAGGTAGAGATGGAATCATGGTGTATTGACATGGCATTAGCCAGTGTGGGTGTACCCTGAAAACACTTCCCTGAGGAGTGGGAGCACTTGTACTCGCATGTTTACTTGAAGAAAATATACAAAGAACTATGATTTGAAAACCTGGAGAAACACAGGCTAAAAGTGAGGCACTGGAGTAGGTTGCCCAGAGAAGCTGTGGATGCCCCATCCCTGAAAGGCCCAGGCTGGATGAAGCTCTGAACATCCTGGTCTAGGGAAAGGTGTCCCTGGCCATGGCAGGAGTTTGGGACTAGGTGATCTTTCCAACCCAGGCCATTCTATGATTCTTTGAAATTCTTGCTAGGCAGCACTTCTGTTGAAAATACAGAGAATACTACAACTTTATGATATTTCAATATAATGTGATCTTTCTATTAAGAATTTATTGGTAGAGCAAGACAGGTTCTGGTACAAGAAGCAATATTCATGGAATATGTTGGGACAGATGCCACAGCATTAGTCAAGTAATACAAGCCAAATAGGATTTAACTCATTATGAAGCTCATGAAATACCATGAAATACCTATCAACTAGTAGCAAAAGAACTAATCAGGAGTGTTTTTCTATCTTGACATGACTGGATGGCATTTGCCGAGTGTGCACCCCTTGCCTCTTTGTGCCTTTCCTGGGTTTGCTTCTCTCTGCTGCAATAAACTGGGAATCTTTTGTTTTCCCCCACTGCGGACTTCTGCTCTTCCTGTCGAAGCTGCTTCGGCACGGCGTGTGTGCGTTACTGCTTCCCCTGGCCTGCCCGTATCTGGTTGCCTAACGCACAGATCTCCGGAGGTGTGGGCAGCTGCCCAGCGAGGCAGAGGCACAAGCAGCGCATGGGATGGGCATGGGAGGCATGTGTGGGGTGAGGGAAGTGGGAGAATGTCACCTCTGTGCCATGTTCAAGGGCAGGAGGTGGAAGGGAGCCAAGATCCCTTTATGGATCTTCATTAGCTGCTTGTGAAATCGTGTTTATTGTACTCTGGATCTAACTTGGCTGACTTCATGTGGCATCTCTCCTGCCTGATGACTGCCTCAGCATGGCTGTCAGAGGCTGCTGCCCCATAATTTTCCTGGTGAAGGCTGATGTGCTGAAATAAGATGGTTTAGCTATCAGTTATGGGTTTAGACCAACTGTATTGTTTTGTCTGAAGTGGATCAAGGACAACTTGTAAAATAGGGATAATAGAGATATAGTATACAGGCAAATACGAATAGATGGGATGTTGGCATCTTCAGTGGCACAGCATATTTTATACAAATAATGTTGTAGCGCAGCACTCCTATTCACTTCAGGCTAATGGATGTCTGAAACTTTAAGCTGCTTCTCAATGCCTGGGCAGCTGGAAAGGAAAAAAATACTTGTTCCCCTCACTATTCTTCTGTCCCTCACTGCAGCTCTTCACTATTCTGGTTTTCTTTCATGAAGTCACAGCATGTGGCACACGGGCAGTGTTTTTATCAGTTTCTTGTTTCTCAAGTATGTATTAAATTCAAGAAATGGCAGACTTAGGTTTTTTTTTTTTTTTTTTTTTTTGTTTTGTTTTGTTTTGTTTTTTTTTTTTTGTTCAGTTTATGGATTGTTAACTTCAAACAGCAGTTTTGGTAGGCCTGTCTGAGTACTTAAAGGGAAGTTGGTCTTTGCTTGAAAGCTGCCCTGAAAGCTGATTGGTTACTCTGCATTGTTCCACGGTGCTAGGGAGCAAGTCCCATGTCCTTGCCCTGGGACTTCACCCTCTACCTAGGCTCACTGCTGCATTTGAAGGGCAAATGCAGCCTAAAGGGTGGAAACAAAACCTTTTACTCCTCAAAAATACGAGATTATTAACAAAAGAATTACAAAACAAGTAGTTAATTTTGTAAGCTGATTGTACTTTTTTTTAAACAGCTCAGTTTAAAGGGTACCTCTAAAGCTAGAGGGACATGTAGTAATTTAAGTGCCTGTTGTCACATTTCCAATTTGCCAAAAGTTTGCCAAAAGTTGGCAAAGTTGCCAGTGATGCAGCAGTTAAGAATTTTTTTCTATGTATATGGCATTTAGTTGAAATCCAAAATGTGAAAAGTACGTGAGTTTACACTGATGAGAGACACCAGAATAACTCAGGTGTTTCTTTTCTTTACTTATCTTTGGTTTCAGTGATTAATGCTGACCATTGACATGGAAATATTGAATAGTTAGTTGGTTTTGGTTTTGTTTTTTGGTCAGGTTTTTTTCTCTATTTTTAATGAATTCACAAAGTAAAATGCTTTCAATGTGTCTTTTTTGTCAATGTCTTTTATTTTTCTTCTGCATGTTTTTTGTTATTTTTGTTCTGTCTGCTTAAGATGGCTAGGCAAAGCAATTTATCACTGAATATGTTGATTAGAAAACACCTATAAGTGGTTCATGAATGGAGTAATGTGAGATGAATAAACACTTTAGACAACCACAGATTTAAGTGTCTTTAAGTGTTATCTTGGTTCTTTATGAGAGTCTGAGGAATTGAATTTCAGTAGCATTTAATTTCAAAATCCTGAGGTAGCACACAAATCTTTTAAAAACTACTTGTGAAGCCTACCTGGCCCAAAGCAAACTCTGGCTTCCACCTGCAGAAGGCACAGATGTCATAAGGAGGGCAAATACAGGTGTCAGTAACCTCTATGAATCATCTTATTTGCTAGGAGCAATGGTATTCAGATTGCCCCTTTTAACTGTGCCAGGGTAAAAGCAGCAAATACATCAACTCTTATCTCCACTCTGCTTGTGATACCTACTTAGGCTGATATTGCAGTTTCACCAATGTTTCTATTATTCCACATGCTGTTCTTTGCATGTGCTTCTTGTGTCACTTTTCTTTTGTGCTGGAGTATTTCTCACTGAAAGCTGGTACTAAAAAGCACCGAGGAAACAGCCTGGGTTAAAAAATACCCTTTCTTTTTCTGTGAGGCTTGCTCTCCTGTGCTGGGTCTGTTTCCCAATCTATTTTATTATGCAGCCAGAAAAATGGTTGTTCCAGCAGAAGTCAAGGGTGACATAGGAGCAGGTATGAGTAATGGGGAGAGAGGTTGATTAAAATTACGTTGCTACTATTAAAAGTGCTCTTATAATTGCAAACTTACCCTGTAAACAGCCAGACTTGCTCTGCTTGAGCAGGCTGTGCTCAAGAGAAGCTGCTTGTAGCACTTTATGAATTCCTACATGCTGCCTGCCTGTATTTAATTGTATTGTGAATTCTTTGTAGTTTGGATTATGTTTTATATTGATATGGGCCTTGCACATTGGGCTCGGTGCCTGGAACCTCTATTCAAAGACTTTTTTTTTTTTTTAAAGCAATGCCTCACTGAATGCATGTGAATGTGAGCGTAAGTTTGTCTAGTGCACTGCAAAACCCTGTGCAAAGAAATAGGATGTACTGTGCAAAAAACTGCTAAGTCTCAACAGGCATCTCATGGGCTGGAATTCAAGAGAATGCTCCTATCCCAGTGATGGCGTTCCGGGTTTATGGCTATGTCTGAGAGAAAAATATAGCTTACTCTATTCCTTTTATTCTTTGTTTTCTAACAAAAGAAGGGGACGACTCTTGCTGGACTCTGAATCACAAAGATCAGTTTGTTGATTTGG